ATTTATTATATATATTCATTAATATATATACGGTTTTCCAACAACAAACATAGATAACATAACCTAAAACAATTACTCAATTTTATCCTTATTGTTTACAATATTAAGCTGAAATAATTTATTGTGATACATTGTATCATATACGTCTTTTATTTAAAAAGACTCATATTAATCAGTGTCGTAATTTAGCTAAATATTAAATGTGAGCGCGTGCACAGTTCTCAAAATGGCCATAGATCACGTGACTTTGTCTCTCCTACAACAAAGATGCCGATGTTCAGTAACTGATATATCTAGACTGTGACATAACAAAGTAATGACTGCGAAGTTGTGATTGGTCGCGCTGTTCCGTTCCGCTGTAAATTTCCGCTTATAATACCTTTTAGAGTATATTCACACAACTTGCATAGTCGCATAAACGTATGCATAAAATTATCCAAAGATAATTATCATATTTTACTGCAACTTTGTAAGAAATGTGATTGGATAATTTTCTTTATGTTTATGCGGTTATGCAAGTTGTGTGGATATACTATTAAGGCCGCAGCACAGACTTGCATAACGCATAATGCACAGTGCATAAGCGAAACAACTAATTAGAATCTTTTCTTTCCTCCCATTCCCTAAAAAAAAAAAAAGATTTCTATTAGTTGATTCTCTTATGCACTATACATTGTGCGTTATGCGAGTCTGTGCTGCGGCCATTAGTCACTGCTTAAACGAATGCACCTTATAACCTCTTTGCTTTACGTTACGGAAGCGTGACCAACAAAGAAGAATAGCGGATTACGCAAAAAAAATCAATGAGACGCGAATATGGATCGCAAAATACCAGGAAGCATCAAGGAAGCATCAATTTAAAGACAAGTAGCGCTTAAAGCGGAATAAGTTATCAGTAAAGTTGATGCTTATGCACAATAAAGTATTACATTTAAATGATTATTTTAAATCAGAAACGGATTTTAGGTTAGAATTATGTACAAATATAGCATCAAGAAATGAAGACGAGCAAATAATGCCAGAATCTGGAGCGTATAATTAAAAGAAGCTGTGAAGATCAATCTTGAAAAGGAAAAAGAAGAAAAAGAAAGAATGCTCTTACCTGTATAAGGCTACATCACAGATCAAATCATCCAACATTAATTAGATAAAATTATACTAGTACTTCAACAGGCGAATCTAGTGAACAATTTATGCACAGGATATCTAGAGCACACATAATTTTTTGAAGGCAATAGCATTTGAGAAAAAATATGGTATTCAGATTGAACGAGATTCAAATATTAGTAAAATTCAAGATCTAGCAAAACATTATGCAAATATAAAAAAGATGTTATAAAAACATTAAAAATTAAGCATAATAATATTAATAGAAAAAAGATACTTGAAAGTTCTGCAACTTCATCAAAAAATGAAAAATGAAGACTGAAAGTATGTGTAAAAAAAGGAAAGAAGCTTGAAACCTTTAATGAATTTGAGAAATTGCAAGATTGTTTTTGAAGTAGTATGAACCTCCTAGGTTGGAAATTAAATCAAATAAAATTAATGAAGTTAGAAAGCCAAAAAATTTATTATTGAATTCGTTATTAGAAGATTCTAAAAAAGGCTTTTTTTATATTCAAAGTGATTTAGAAAGAAAAACTTACCTGAAACAAAAAGAAAAAAAATTAGAGAATAAAGTGAAACTATTGCAGCCTACAAACAATTGAAGTCTAAGTAATTAGAAACTACTAGGGTATGTTCAAATTACAAAAGCAATAAATTATGTTTGAACAAAGCACATATATTTGATTTTTTCTTTTAATTTATTTTAATAATCTATCCTTATTTTTTTATGTTATAATTATGTTGAATGTAGGAATTAAAACTCATAATAAAATTAATTTAAAATTTAAATAATATCTCAAAGCTTGCATCTTACAATTTCTTTGTAGGTTGTATTATAATGTGTGTTATATGTGTATTGTTGTATTATAAATATTTTATAGAAAATTCAGGTTTTTATTTTAAAAAATAAATTTTTTTTATCATTTGAATATATTTAACCTGTAGTCCAAACAAAGGGCTCAAGCCTCTCTTCAATTGGTAATAGATTGTTGAGCGTTTCAAGACTTTCAAGGGTTTGATTGAGAAGCGAGTGACATCTAGTTAGCTGACGGCTAAGTTCATGCACTTTATTTATTTGTTCTGTAAATTTAGCGAATTTCTTTTGTCGATCCACAGCGAGATGTAATACCTTGCCAAATTCTGTTTCCATATTAGTACATAGAGTAACTTGTTCTGCTGCTATAACTTGCGCATTTGTATTTAGATGATGTTGGTAACGTGCACATAGATTGAACAGACCAACAGGATCAAGCCTCTCGAGGATCTCTGGATCACGTACACCAGGTGGTAGATTCAATGTGCCACGCATAATTGGTAGAAACATTGGGATACTTTGTAGTTTTACTATATCAGGATCTTTGTCTGCTGTAGGATCCATTTGAGCTGGCTTTACCACTATGATACTGTGTGTCTTGTCTGATATATTAATCTTCTTGTGACTTTTAACAAGGAAAGAGAGCAAACTAATAAAATTCTGTATGACAGAGTTGATATATAAAGTATACATATATAAAGTACGATATTTTGAAAATTTTGATTGTTGTATTAGAACACATTTTTATATAGTATATTGTCTAATAATGAAGTACTATGTTACATTAAAATACTCTGTTATATAAACGCTTATTTTTTTTGTATAAATATATATAAAAATATATGTAAAAATATATTTATAAGAAAAATAAAATAATGAAACTGACTTGTTATTTGATATAATTTGGAAGATATTCTTTTTATATACAGAGTGTTTATAATCATTTACAATCACACTACAAGATTAAGCATTTTTTTTTATCTTGAATCTAATAATTTGTTAATCTGCAGCATACTTAATTAATAAACTACTTTTTAAATTAATTTATAACAAGTTTATAACACCATTATTCATAACAATTTTACATTATTTATAACAACTTTTCAAAATGCTTTCCATTTTGTTGTATGTATAACGTGGTTCAATCAATTATGTCGTTTGTACTATGCTGTAGCATCTCATCATGTACACATACAGTTTATAAGAATCCAGTAGAAATGAAATCGAAGATGAAATGATGACTCAATTACATTTCACAACTTCGTAATTGTAAATAAAGCGATATTATAGCGAAATACAAACGACACAATTGATTAAACTATATTATGCATACAACAAAATGGAGAACATTGAAAAGTTGTTATAAATAATGTTATGAATAATAATGTTACAACTTGTTATAAATCAATTTAAAAAAATGATTTATTAATTAAGTATGCCGCAGATTAACAAATTATTAGACTCAATAGATTCAAGATAAAACACTTAATCTTATAGTGTGTTCGGATTGCAAATGATCAGAAACATCCTGTAAGTATATATTTTTTGTTTTATTAGAAATATCTCAAAATAAATTAAAAACATTATATATTTATAAATCCAGCAATACCTACTTATGACTTATTACGCCTAGACTATTCTTCCGCCTTGAGATTTCCCCAGCTCCAATACTCTTTCCTCTATAGATTTGTGACTGTTTATTTGTCATCTTCGGTGAATCTCCAATAGGTCGATTCACTGTATAAGAAATATATGGGAGATCAGAATCAGAGCAAATGCTAGCGCCAGGACTGGTACATCTCGGTGGAGTATCTTCTGGCATTCTTTCACGATTTGGAACGCTTTTACCACGTCTGAGTTGACTTGTTCTTATTTTTTCATTATTAGCATTTTGGTTACTATTTTGAGAACTTTGTTCAGATCCCATTTTCTTAGAGCTTACTTGAAGATCATGAAACTTCAAAAAAATAAAAGTGTCCGTAAAGAAATATGAACTTCTATTAAATAACTGTAATTTAATATATTTTACAATATTTAACAGTTTTTATCATCTTTATAAATTAGAAACTATTTTTGCCAAGCTCTGTAAGAATTCGAAAAATCAATACAAAGCACATTTGCAAAATATCACAGACTATTTAGTAAAGTTTACAATATATGATCAAGTTTACAATATATCCTCAAGATATTTTTGCAGTATTGATAGTATTTTTAGCATTGTTTATATCTCATCATAATATACTATGTCAATAGATAGTAAAACACAGACTATTTAGTAAATTTTACAATATATGATATATCCTCAAGATATTCTTGCAGATATCCTCAAGATATTCTTGCAGTATTGATAGTATTTTTAGCATTGTTTATATTTCATCATAATATACTATGTCAATAGATTTAAAATACTAAGAGATTAAATAAATAATAAAAATTTACATTTTTTATTTTACCCTGATTTGTTGCTATTTAAAATTATTACTTATTTTATATTTTATTGTATATTTTATGTATGTATTGCTTATTTATATTTATTATTACTTTATTTCTTGTTTCATGATTAACATGACAATAGAAACGTAATATCCGGTGAGCAGTGAGCTCTATACATACTGGCAGAGTTGCCAACTTTAGAAAGATTTTTCTACACGAGCACGTATGCAAAACCTATTAGTACCAATTAAATTAACTTACCAAAAAAAAAAGGAAGAAAATTACATCATATGAGCTGTGTTCCAAAATTCACTGCCAGCGCTGAAAATTTACACTTTACATTACATATAGGATATGGTCAACGCGATGCTGCAAACGCTTTGAAGCGTTTTTTAATTGGTCAGTTTGTAAAATCTTTCTTCTAATTGGTCCATTAAATGTTTCAAAGCATTTGTAGCGAGACTTTAATCACAGCCACACTGTATATTTTCAGCACTATATTATAAATAAATTTTGGAACATAATCATGGTTAACTTACATATGGTTAACTTTTAATCGAGATTTAATTATTTATTTTATGTTAAATCTCGATTAAAAGTAAACCACAAGTGAGAAACTCATTTAACGCCGTTTAACTTTAATACCGACGAGAAACTATTAAAGATCGTCAACCTGGATAAATTTTTGGAAAAAATTTAAGGAAGCCTTAAATATAAGGCCTGATTGAATATGGGCATTAATCACTTCAATATTTACAAGGACGCGAACTCCCGTAAGAATGTCGGTATAATATTATAGTATCTCATCGGTAGCTTTAATGACTCTCCCCATAACCGTTGGTTAACCGAGGTTGGTGAAATGCTATAGTATAACGCGCATACTATAGTTTTCCCTATACTATAGTTTTTCCTAGTTTTTCATATGCGATACTTTCTGAGAATAGAGGCCCAGTGTGATGTTCGTCATGTTAGTTCCAGTGATGCGAACCTTTTTATACCGGCTGCAGATCAGGGCATTCTTGAAAAATAAAATAAATATCACATCACATAAAATTAGAAAAATGTTGGGTGTATTCCAAATCGGGTTATAGCTTAGCTCATTTTTTTCCCTAGATGTTGGCAGTTCCTACTGCCAACATCTAGGGAAAAAATTTTTTCTCTTAGATGTTGGCAGTTCCTAACTAAACCGAGAAGTGTTCCGAATCCGTCGGATATCATAACTCGTAACCAATAGAAGTCAGTAGTTGAATATTTGACGGCCTATGAGTTCGAAACATTTCTCGGTTTAGTTACGGAACTGCCAACATCTAAGAGAAAAAATAAGCTAAGCTAATCCAGTTCGGAATACAACTCATTATAGTATATGTAACGTATTATAGTATTTCCCTAGTCGTATTTCCCTAGTCTTTCGTGCGATACTTTTCAAGAATAGGAGCCTTGCGTGATGTTTATTGCATGCGACATGCGATATTCAATGAGCGTACAACCTTACTGATGTATATGTTCTCATTCTAAAACTGTTCATTGAATACCGTCACACATGACGAAACTGCGCTGGTGTGCCGGAATCAATTAAAGGTGAAATCACATGGTGCAGAAAAGGACTGCAAAATAAAGAATGCGTCATTAAAACAACCAATCAATGCTCTTTCACACTTTCCCATCACGCAAGTTTTGTGTGCTATGTTCACATGATGCGTTAAAAATGCATGAATATAATTTAAAAACTACTAATTTTATGTTAATAATTTGCTTGTTAAAATAAAATATAATTTTTTAAATTGTAAAAACAATTATCACTGTTATACTATTTAATGTTTCACAATTAATATTTACAATCTCATAACAATTTTTTTGAATTGCTTTAACGCATTTACTATAATTTTTCCGCATTTACTATAATTTTTCGTGTGAATATAATAAACAAAACATGCATGATGGAAAAATGTGGGAAAAAACACTGAAGTCACACATAATGCGTCATCTTTTTTTATCTTGATAGCTACATTTAGTATGTATGTATATTTGTTTTTTCTTTTAGGATTACACATTATTTACAATAGTAAATATTCTTACACTAACTGAAACACTTATAACCAAACCTATATCTATTCCGCACTCTCTCTCTCTCTCTCTCTCTCTCTCTCTTCCTCGCACTCGCCCCCTCCGCTACCTCTTATACCCTATGGACTTCAGTTTCAATTTACATTTTCGCCTTTTCTTACTCTCTTTCTCTCTCTTTCTCTCATCCATTCACTCATTCACTCACCCTCTCCCCTCACTCTTCTCCTTTCGTCCACCATTTCTCTCATTCATTCCTCTCCTTCTCCTTCATTTCTAAGCCTAAATCCTGCTATCCTCTGTCATCTATTTTTCCTCCCATCCTTTCTCCAGATATTTTGGGACTCCCTTCTTCTTTACCCATTTACTAAATCTCGATTTCCTTATTCGCTCCCATCTTTCTTCTTTCTGTTTGACCTTTTCCTCTTCTTCGTACTTTCCATTTCTCTCCATTCTCTGTCTCTCCCACTTTTATATCTTCATTCCTTTATCTTTAAAAAACTGTCTCCTCTCCCTCTTCCATTTCGATACCGCCCTCTCTCTTATTTCTTTCTTACATATGCGCACTAATTCGCTTCCCTTTCCCATATTTAATCTTTCTTCGAAACCCCATGCCCTCCTCCCCGCTCTGCTTCTCAACATTTCCCTCTGCATTTCTTCCCTTATTAAATACTCCGGTATCCTTTCTTTTACCCCAAACATCCATCTTAGGAACCTTTCCTGCACTTTTTCTATCCCCTCTCTTTCTTTTCAATCCCATAGCTCCACTCCATACTCCATACTAATGTCCACACTAATGTCAAACGCATCCTTCTCTATTTTCCGCCAAATCTCCTCTTCCTTATCTCCCATATCTGCCCCATTATTGCCGCTGCTTTTGTTATCCTTTCTCGTATATGTTTTTCCTGTCCTCCATTCTTTTGAAAAATATACCCTAAATACTTGTATTCTTTTACCTCAACAATCTTTTTTTCTTTCCATCAACTCAATCTACTCATTCTCCTTCCTTCCTCCCTGAACCTTAACACCTTTGTTTTCCCTGCATTTAACTCAAGTCCTTTCCTATCCAAATATCTTTCTAACCTTTCTAGTATACTCTTCATCTCCCTTTCCTCCTCCACCATCAACACCACATCAGCTACGTACTACAGCAAATATATCCTCTTCTCTCCTAGCCTTATCCCTTCTTACTTTACCTTTCTCATTTCCTCTTCTAGATCAATGTATTAACAGTGCTGGGCTTGCCGGACATCCCTTTCTTCCCCTCCTTGCCATCCAAATCCCTTCTCAACTTCCCACTCTTACTCTACTCCTTGCCTCTCTTAATTCACATTTCCTCCATCTTCTCCATTAATCCCTCTCTTTCCTCTTTCTCTCATAAACCTTCAACTCTTCTATCTATCGAATCAAATGCTGCTTTCAAATCTGCAACAAACACTACCGTCATTTTCCT